ATTTAATGCGCTATCCACGCTGGCGGTGCTCGGGACCTTTGAGGTTAGGTTACCGACTTCGTACCAGAGCCGAATACTATATCCTCCTACTACCATTCGAAGTAGCTTCTATAATCGCAATTGAATTAAACTACACCGGCTATTTCGGAGCATTTAACTCTATTTCAATTGTAACCTTCGATTCGTTAATAAATATTTTCATTCTAGTTCAAGCGAGCAACGAAAGAGGGTTAATTAATTAGTATCGTCGAACACGGAACGGGGAAACCTTTGAATCGACCCGATAAAGAAACTGAATATTTACCAGAATATCGGCGGCATGCTCCAAAATTTCTGGCTCCGATTAACGGAGTCAGCACGGCTACCGGGGGGGACACAATTAATTCCCGACCACAAGGCTCTTCGATAATGTCCCATTCTCCCCACCTCGGACGATGCTAATAATAGCCGGGCCAGATCATCCTCGAATAATTGAAGAGGGAAACGCGGTGGAAAAAGTCTCGAAACGAGGATCCGCGGAGGGCGAGAGACTGTCCCGACCGGCCAAATATGGCGCGTGGGGCGAGGTTGGAAAAACCGTTTCGAAGCGTTTAATTTAATTAGGCACCGCGAAACGGACTGGCCGCGACGAGCCCGACCAATGGGCGTGTCCAACGCGACACCCACCCGTTTCCAGCGTTCCTCGTGTCCAACGGAAGTCGTCGAAGAGAGAACACACGGTTATGGATTGTTTTCAAGAAATTCTCGGGAAAGCTTGTCTACACAGTGAGTCACGTAATCGTCGGTGCCTATAATCGTCACACGTGGATCGCGCCCGGCAAGCTAACTAAATGTGGAGCTGCGAAAAAAAATTCTAACGCGATCGCAACGATCGCCGACACGTGGCATCGGTGTTCGAATAGCGCGCGGTTACATAATCCACGATCGTTCCGTTACCGGGCGGATTATCGATAAATCCCGACGAAAATGGAAGCGAGGGCCGGCCAGCCATGCTTGAGAACCGGGGAAATGATTCGGAGCATGAAATGATCGGGAAAGAAATTTGCACTTACAGTTTCAGGAACAGTAGCAGCAGCAGCAGTTGTTCCATTGGACGAGACTCACGGGCAAGTCCTGTGGGCCCGGATCGATTCCCCGGCAACGTAGAGGGCGGCGAGGAAGAACCGGTGCACCACTCCAGATACGAGACGTGACGCACACTCTCGAGCAAAGTGCACGATGACTCGACGACGCCCGCCTTCCAACGTTCTACCCGGGGAAGGCTCATGAGAAAAAGAACGAAAAGAAAGAATAAGGGAGAAGGAACGAGATTCGCCGGAGACATCCACTGAGAATCGCACGAGGAAAGAAGGAGAAGAAGAAGACGAAGGAGAAGAAGAAGGAAGGAAGGGTACGTAGTAACCGTCGAGTTTCGCGCAGGCCCGAAAACCGCACTGTCAGCCGGAAGCGTGGCACACGATCGTGGACGAGGGAGAAGAAGGGGAGCGAGTCAAAAGGAGAATAGAGCCGTCGCGGCCGGCCGAGAAACAAAACTGAAGGAAACCGGAAGATCGAGGAAGAGGGGAGAGTGTGTGTGTGTGAGAGAGAGAGAGAGCGAGAAAGAGAGAGAGAGGGTCTCGACTTCCTTCCTGTTTCGCGAGCGCGTGTACGAATGGATGTGTGCTCAGAGCCTTGGCCTCACCACGAACAGTGTTCAGCTGAATGTTCAAGTTCTTTTTCTCCAAAGACGAAACTCTCGGCGCGAGATCGGAACATCGACTGGCGAATCGACAGAAGAACGGATCGGTTGTGCTCCGAACGGAGTCGAACTCGGAACTACTTGGTCGTTGATGACCACCCGAACTAGAGGAACGAGCGGCGCGGACTGAGCTGCGCAATGGTCGACCATCGCTCCGCCAGTCACGGGTGCGCCTGCGACCACTGCGCAGAGCAGAGTGGGGGTAGAACCGAAGAGACACCGATGGTGGGGGCTGAGGGTTCAGTCCAGGAGCGGGGATGCGGCCGAACGCACCCCGTGAATGACGCAGGTGGCGGCCACGGACAATGACTGCGCGAGCGCATCGCTGCCGTCTCTTCTTCTCTGTTAATTAACTCTTTAACCGATCGCACCACTGCAAACAACGGGCCCGACTGTTCTCTACTGGCTCGAAATGGGACACTGGCTGCTGGCCTGCTCCTTGGACCGAACGCCTCCAAGGAGACTCGCCTCTGTTTGATCAGTTTACACCGATCGGAGTATGTTAACACTTCGAACACCGGAAGCCCGGTAATGGGATTCTGTGCGATTATGCTTTATCGGACAGTAGAGCTTAATTACCGACGGTGACTTAATTGTCTTTGAAAATTGCTGATATGTAATCGACTTTTTAGCAGCGAATTTTATTCGATAGCTAACGGCACATTGTAGATCGCGGGTTTTCATTGTATCTTCTTAGATTATTTTAAATCATTGTTTTACATACCAATTTGGAACAGCTTCGAGTTCGCGCGACCTTATCGACAGGGTTATTGCGCCCCGATATCTGTTACGACGGGAAGTAAAAGCTTTTGCAAATTCATTATACATACTATCAGCGAAATAAACAATCGACTTGGAAACGCGACACAGGTTAACGTTAAAATTGCGTCTAGCAATAAAAATCATCCTGTATCTATAATAATGTGTCATGAAGTACCATTACGAGTACAATTGAGTACAATTTGAGAAAACTTGGGAAACTTCGGCAACGCGACACAAATCAACGTTACAATTATACATATCTGACAATAAAAAGATGAGCCATTTGTAAATCATCTTGTCACGAAATACCTCAGCAATTTCGACGACTATAGACTAAACGGCCCGAGGTGATTCTAAGTGGTAATTTATATCATGAATATCAAATGTAATTCAATAGCGAAACATGCCTCGTCTACATCAGTCACTTGAATCTTCCTCGTTCGAACTTTCACCGAATTTCCATAAAATATCCCTATTGCTTTCGGTCGCATCATCGCTACAAGACTGTTCTCCGTCAATTTCCATTTCTTTAACCCTCGCACACTGTCCTCATTCGATTCGGCCCGGTCTCTCCGTTTTCGATCACAGCATCCATTACGAAAGCACAATACGAATCTTTTCCGTTGAACTTGAAAATTTCGAAACGCGCGTTAACTTCGAATCGATTCAATTGCCAAGACATGGAATGCGTATAAATAGTTTTCGAATGGTCGGCTGTACGAGAAAACAAACGTTGTTTTCCATTTTTCCAAGTTTCGCTAAATATAGCAAAGCGCCGAGACAAGTCTAAACGCGATTGCGCATACGTTGACCCGCCGCCGGCGCGGCGAGCATATCAGCGGCGTCGATAGCGTCCCGGTGTCAACGAAAAATCATTTTTGTTTTCCAGCACCGTATCTCCGGGCGGCCAGGCGAAGAGAACGATACCGAAATCTGTTTGCTCGGCTCCTCGAATTCGATAAAAGCCGCGCGCTCGTTTATTTGCTTTTTCCACGGTGGCAATTTTCTCGCGGCTCCGCGGCTTCAACAACGTTCCCGGGGAACGAACCGTCGGCCATTGTAAATCCTCCGGGGGCCACTGTTATATTCATATTTCTCGCTACCGGTCGAAGGCGACGGCGTAACAGTTGCAAATATGCGCGTATATCGGTGTATTTTACGACGCCGCGCGACAGAACGCTTCGTCACCGAGTTCAAGGCGCGCGCACGTTGATAACGCCTCGTTTGCACGCTGCCTCTGGCATTTATCTCTCTTTCTCTCCTGCCCTTCCTTTTTTTTCCACTCACACATCCACGCAGTCTCTTTCTCTCTCTCTCTCTCTTTCTCCTTTCCACCACGCGAACCCCGTTATATTTGGTATTCTAAATAAAACGCGGAGCGGAGAGGAGAGCCGAGAGGAAAAGAAGCAAATAAAGGATCGCGGGCGAAAAAAAAAGATGGTCGATTAATTATCTGCCGGTGGTATCGCGACCGGCCCGGGGATTACGACACGGGAATCTTTATCTGAGGCCCGATTGCCTGGCCCGATACCTGAGGAAACGATGATTTACATCGCCGAGATCTCACCCTGGCCGACGCCGACGACGTCGTCCTCCTCCTCGTCGTCGTCGTCGTCTCTCGTCTTTTACGTAACCGTGAGTGCACTTATGTCTCCGACCCGTCGGTCTTCGTGCTCTCGTTCGTCTTCGTCGTTGTCGGGGTCCGTGTAATCTTATCGTCGCGGAACGACCCGGCGACCCCGTGTTTTCTGTCCCAAATCCAAAAAATTTTATCGAATCTGGAAACCGCTGGCGCTAGCCGAGAATCCAGCTTACGAAACAGGCCGAGAGCTATCGGTAAATAAAGTCGGGGAACAGATAATCCACCGGGGGAAAAAGAGACCGACAGCGAAACTGTACGAATACGTTGCCCGTTGCATCACCGTCCCGTTTTGTCCTCCGCGGCTCGTAAAACCCATCCTCTTCGACCAGAGGAGAAACACCGGACAGACCACTTGCTTTCTCTAGGAAACGCTGTTTACCCCGTGGAACCGCCATCTTGGGGAGCCGCGTTCGGTCGACTCGCCGTTAACACAACTAGGCTCGCAAACCACTATAAGAGCAACTGTTTTATATTACTTGACAAGAGTGTATCACTTGCCAAGGGTAATATATTTATTCGTAAATACATTCTTCATAAATGTATCTTCGCGATCTCGATAATCATAAATTAAAAAATCTGGAATCCATCATTTTCGAGGATCTCGTGATCCTAGTGTTAATTAAACAAACAAAGCTCGTGATTACATGGAGCAACGATGATTAGGAGAACACTCTGGCGAACGCTCTCCAAAGATATCCGCGCGTTATCTGTCCGGTTGTGATCGATTTGATAAGGTCATATGGCGTGGATACTTTTCTGCTCGTTCATCATTATTTTCTACTTTTTCTAGCTTGCGCAGGCTATATCAATTCTTGAGGATTCGATGCTTAAAAAGCTGGGTCTTAATAACATCAACAATTTCACCGATATAACACGATATTTGTATTTCATTTCGTAGTAACAATTTGTTAAGATTCTAGCTAAGAATAAAATTTAATGCAATGTTTATCTAGAATTAAATTAACACATTTGTTTTCGCCTGTTACTTGGGATCTATCACGACTCCGGTCTAAGAGTTAAAAGAAGAAATGTAAAATCGGTCATTTCGACCAGAACGATAGGTTTAGTTAATATTAATTGTTGAAATTCGTAACTGGACCGTAGATCTTGTGCATGTGATGAACGAAGTACACAAAGAATTAGGACGAGTTTAAGAACATAGAGGATAAGGGAGTACTTGATGGCAGGATTGCCTACTCAAGGGGCAGAGATGAGCTAGAGTCCGAAGAACAACCGCGAGATCATCCTGTTACAAATATTTCTCAGCTCAAAAAGAGAAGATGTAGAAACGTATAATAGAAGAATTTGCATCCGAATGCATTCGAGGGTGAAGTAACATTCGGCGTTGATACAGCTAAAGCGTTTCCGATAAGATGACGATCTCAAATTCCTGGATGATCTTGATTTTCCTCGGAACGATCGACGATTCGCGAAAGGTTTTTAACGCGCGCGTAAGTGCGTGCGACGAGGATGCGTCTAGAGTTGGCTCGTTTTCAAGGAGTAAAACGAGAAACGAAAGAAAACGAAGGGGAAAGGAATTGGCCATCAGGGCCAGTGACACGAACCGCGATCGGCATATTTCCTTGACCACGTCATCGTCGAGCACCGGCCCCCGTGGCAGGGCGAGAATTTGCGGAGTGTATTAGTAGGCCATGACGAAAATACCAGGCGGTCCGGATAGTAATAGCGAGAGCATCTAGACGGCATTGACCGCGCCCGAATCCGTGCAGGTCGTCGTTCCCCGTTCTACTCGCTCGTGTTCCTCGTGGTGGTCGTTAAAGTCGCATTTAGAGAACCTCAACTCGGGACGCATTTCAAAGACACATTTAGGAACGACTGCTGCAACCGGACGCGGGCTCGCATTCTTTCGCATATCGAGACCGGGCACCATTATCCCTGACGAACGCCGTCCCATTACAACCGCCGGACTTTCGGTGGTGTTGGCCCTGAAAAATTCACAAACAAATTCTGAGTAGTCTAGCTCTCATATCTTACACAGAAGACATGCAGAAATTTAGGCGTCGATCCAAAGAATTGTTCAAGATTCACGATTGACAAACAAGTACTAATCGGTTTAGCTCTACGCATCTTTTGCAGAAGACTAATGGGACTTTCGATATCAAATGTAAAATCCAAGATTCAAGATATAAACAAAAAGTTCTGATCTGTTTAGCCACGCATCTGTCACGAGGTACAAGTAGAATGTTCTTGAAAATATCGCATACTTCAGAAGCCTTTTCTTAAGCATTTCGGAAAGAATGCAGATATATTGATATCAGGGTTACGCATCGTATTCCAGAAGTGCAAGCACGTAATTTGATTATACATGCAATAAATAAACACCATTGGAAGAATCTATTAGAAAATTTAATACTTGGATCATATTATTTAGAACTCAATAAAATTAAACGAGACAGAAATACATATCTATGCAGTTCTTGTTTCCTATAATTAATGCACAGTATTTCGCGGATACATCCGCAGTTTAGTAATAAGGTGATGTATGAAAAAAATTTATTGGCACTTTGAAACGTCCTCGTCCGCAAAAGGCTTCATCATTCTACAAAACACGTCTATCTTCAACAAGACTTCCTTTATCAAAAAATAGAACAAAAATGCCATTGATGTTTCTCAGTGCTCGGGCTCCTTTGCACATATTCCAGAATTCGGTACAAGCCAGAAATGCATAAAGATCTGCAGTCCGGCAATCTTAGGAATAAATTCAAATTACGTACAAACGAGGCTCAATCCAGTCAAGGATAATGCCCGGCAGGTTTCTCCCGTTCGATGATCGTCAAGAATTCTCCTAGTTATCTTTTAGAAATTCAAAAAGGAGAAACCGGTTGGAGCGAATTCCACAACGATAGAGAGAAAGAGAGAGGATGTGTGTGTATGTGTGTATGTGTGTGTGAGAGAGAGAGAGAGAGAGAGAGAAATAAAAGGAGAAAGAGAGAGGAGAAAGGGAGGAGGGACGAGTTTCCTAAGCTACGTCGTGAAAGTGTCCTTTTATTTTCGTCCCCCTTTCTCGCCCCCTGCCGGGGAGGACTACGAATTTTCTGCTGACGATGTAACGAGGAAAGCGGCATACTAATGGGATTTCGCGCGAGTGTAACAATGTTCGCCGCGGGCACGACGGACGAAGAGGCAGGTAAATATTTAAGAAGTTCAGGCTTGCATATATTCATGACCGTCTTGCACCGGGAAAAGGAAAAGGAAGATGATGAATTTGCATTTGAAAACCCGGACGATTTGTGGGTCAGGAAATTTTCGATGTTCCGTAGTGGGATCACGGGACGTTAGCCTGAACCCCTCGTTTCATGGGGTTAATCTGAGAATTTGATTTGTTAAAGACTAAAATTAGTGAAATACCGTACTCGTTGTTTAACACCACGGAACCATTAAAAATAAGTCAACCCTAATATAAAATGATAGAGGAATTGAGCCTGCTTTCTTCCCTAGATTACAATGAACAGGAGGAAAAATTTGAATAGGCGGAAAATAATCTGACAGCATTGTTAAATTTTTCCGCTGAAGTTACAGTCCCTATTCACTTTTTTCATGAATACATAAAATCAGCAGTCCAGATATAATGGGCATGAAGTGTCTACACCTGGTCGAAGAATAATGTCACCCACTATAATTATGGTGATCGTATGTTCGTTATTTGAGGGGACAGACCTTTATTCCGCAGCTCCATCTTCTCAATTAATTCCTGTTTCAAACTAGCCATAAATAAATGACAACGAACTATTTCATGAAGTTTCGTAGATTAAAAGTAATCTCCGCCAATGGAGAGATCAAAGAATGTGCACTATTAACAAGTTAATACAATTGCCAGATAACAGTCTTTTCATTTCACCTCGAGATCCGCAACCCGCGACAAAAGTTCGCTCCTCGCCTCGAAATTTGGCTTCCGACGAAATTTTCGTGTNGTGTGTGTGTGTGTGTGTGTGTGTGTGTGTGTGTGTGTGTGTGTGTGTGTGTGTGTGTGCGCGCGCGTGTGTGTGATCGGAGATGCTGATACTTTATTACTTTATTCATTTACTAAATGAAACTATTGTTATAATTAAACGGATATATTTATCATACGTACGTATAAATCAATTTAGTAAACTACTTCATGTCATAGAAATTTTCATAACACAGTCTTCCCCACATACCTAATTAGAATAAACGCTACGGAAAAGTATATATCAGTAAAAATTTCATTATTGACAAACCGAAGCGAACTGTCTCCAATTTCTCGCAACCTCTGACTGTGAATTTGCGTGATTTCGCTGTTATCGAAGGGAGGAAAACTCGGTTTACCAACGCCGAGTTCTCTGAATCAGCAAAGAGAATGACCACATCCCATGCCAGGTAATGCCGTTGATTTCGGAATCCTGACGACATCTTTACCTGACAGTATTAGAAGGTTCAACTTCAATCCAATGCTGCCCGGTAAGATGTGAACAGATACTCCGTCCGATGATTAGCTTTAATCCACAGCCTTGTTCGTCCCTTCCGCCTTATCTTGTCCGCTCGCTTCGGGTCGCTTCTATTTCTCTTATCGAGACGCCGCTCGTTTTCTCGTTCGCAGACTCCACCCACCGTACTCGGAAACGCCACAACCTTTCGCCGCTCCGCCAATAAACAAGAATGCGGCGGTCAGGCATTTGAAATACCAAAGGAACAAGGTGTACGAGAGAGAGAGAGAGAGAGAGAGAGAGAGAGAGAGAAATTAGGTTGAACGCAGAAACGTAGGCGAATGCGGGAGAGGAAATAGAAGAAGCACGAGTCTTTGTTTGGCAGCGATCGGAATGCAATCTTCTCGAAAGCGATTCAGCGAGAACAGATTTGCATAAAGAACCGCTGCGGTGATTAGTCACTGGGGATCGATTAGGTGGCGGAGAAGGCAAAAGAGCGGACAAAGGACAGCGAGAACAATAAGGACTGCGGAGAGTCGGGCTGTGAGCGGTTTACGGGAAAAGGCGTGCACGGTGAGTAATTCGCTGGCCGTTGTTCGTCTCGGTGATTCAACCGAGAGACATGGTCGACCTTGGGGGACCAAAGGATAATGTGCAATGCGAAAAATCTTTCTCGAGTGTGGCCGCAAAACGAATCCGGATCGAATCCGAAAAGAATATCCATTTCGCTGTGGAGAAAACAGGAGGAATTTTTTGAAAGGACGGGTTTCCACCCCGTGGAGCTCACGGGGTTCGAAATGCTCACGGAGGTCGAGGATGAGAGGGTGTAGAAAAGCTGCGAGCTCGTTCTCATGGTACCGCGATTAACCCGTACGCCGCGTCTAACCCCCTAATTACGTTTTACGCCGGGTCAACTGCGCGCGGCCGGCGTGTATAGGCGGTTCATCATAAAATTTAAACTATGCGATTATGGTTGCGTGTGCGCGCGCGAGCTCCAGCGCTCGCTCGCTCGCTCGCTCGCCCGCGCGTGTTCCTCCCCGGGAAGGATCCTTTCGAACGAGTTCCTCGCGTCCCTCTCCAGTCCGTTTTCTTTTTTCGTCTTTTCGCCGCGTTTTCTCTCCGTCTATCCCGTGTCCTCACTCTTCCCTCCCTCAAATAGATTCGTTCGCCAGGCCCCATTACCGCGGCAGATAGCATCGTATACGGATAGAAGGCGAGCAGGAGATCGGGACGAGGGGGTTGCCCCCGATGGTAGGAGGGGCGAAGCAAGTTTTATGTAATCACCAACCGACTCTGCGGGGCTAGGTATTAATACTGGCAATAAATAAACGCCGTCAGGGAGACTCGATCCTAAAGGCATCTTGCTGTGCTCCGTCTGCCTCTTTTACGTCTCTTTCCCTTTCTTTCTCTTTCCCGCTCTTTCGCTCATTCCTCTCTCCACCCTGTTGCCACACGCATGGGCGTCGCACGCACTGTTTGACAACGATACATTTCTTTTTACTCTTCGCCGCGCGGCAAGGTTCCTCGAACTTCTCCGATTCGAACACACTTCCTCGGCTAATAATAATACTTGTAACAATTTCTCTCTCTCTCTCTCTCTCTCTCTCTCTCTCTCTCTCTCTCTCGAGGATCCGACCCCGGCTGCACGCATCCATCTCCCTGCTAATCCTCGACGCTTCAAGGCCGGGGCTCAAGCTGCTCAAGGACGACTTTTTGGCAGAGACTGTTCCCATGTTCCTGCGCGCGCGCCGTTCCGTTTCGGTAGAAATCCAAGAGACTATACAAAATGGAAGTTTCAATTTGGCACCGTTTAAGGGTTGATCGCACGCGACCGTCGTCCTTGAAGAGATTGAAACACAGGCCCGCAGCTTCTGTATCGTCCTTCCTTCTAGCGATCCCGCTGATACATTCCACTTCTCACGCGCGGCAGAATTGGCCGACTAATTACTACCGGAAGTAGCCACTCCAGGAATTCCTTCAGCCAAACGATTCGAATCGCAAAGGATAATTGAAAAATTATAAGTCTGTCGCTGCGCTTGGTACTTCCAATGCCAACATCCATCCATCACGTTTCCTCTCTAATCACCGTATCCGCATGCAAATCAATTACATCCACTTTATGTCCACATCAATCTACAGCATGTCGCGTTTGCGTTTGTCGCGGAAGGATCGCTGGAAATCCGTGTTTCCTAGAGGCGCGATAAGAAAACAATCGAACAAGAAACAGGCGATCCCGTGCATTCACCGTGAAAGCGGGAAACGTTATGTCGACGGCTGTGAGCGCGCAGGGGCTGCATCCCGGGTCCCCGTAAAGATTTCTTTTTTCGTGGTATTCGGAGCCCCTCCGGCGAATTTACATTTCCGTGTATCTGGCAACCGGTTTTATGAAACGTCTCACGGCTTGCAACTTAAGTAGGAATTTTTTTCTCTACGAGATATCGTTCCCGCCCTTCCCTCCTTGTCCTCCTCTCTCGGCCGGCATGCTCGTCCAATGAGATACGAGAAGAGCGGAGGAAACGCCGGGCGCGCACACACGCGCTTTCGGTTTGGTCGCGCGCGATTAACGGTGTCCTGCGCGAATACACACAGTAGCAAATTTGCGAATGAAACCGTACGATTGCGGTTTCCAAAGAAGAAACGAGCAACCGCAGAAATAAAGCTGCGATCGTTAGTCTTAAAAATTAAAATTCCCAATATCCATCACCTCTTAAGCACGCAATAAGAGTCTGATACAATATCCAGACGATCGTACGAATAAAATATTTTACAAATAAAATTATGTTATTACAGTTTTGTGGGCTTCTGGGGACGCTAAACCAGTCATCGGTTTCTTAAATAATCATCAACAAAAATTTCCGTGGACCAGGGTGATCCTAATTATCCATTAAAGCGCGAAGAACGTTGGAGACCGCCTTGTGCGAAATCGGGGGAGGAAGCAATAACTCGGAACCGAAGAAATCAGAGAGAAATCGAGCAACGATTCTCGCTCTCCTTGTGCTCGTGCCAGCAAGCAAGAGAGAGAGAGGCGATAGAGAGGGAGAGAGAGGCGATAGAGAGGCAGAAGAAAAGAGAAAGATAAAAGAAAGATTCTCTGTAGGCAACCAGTCATGCCATCCGTCGCTCGTTATCGCGCGACCAGTTGTATCAACGTCTCCGCCTTTATGCAAATGGCCGAAGGCTAATATCCATAATGAGCATTAATCTGTTTCTTTTTTCGTGTTTCCAAGATGGCCGGCATCTCCGGTCTCGTTCGTCGGGGACAGAAAACATCCTCTACCCCTTCCTCCTCTCTTTCTTTCTGCCTCTTCTTTCGTCGAGTTTTAGTGGGTACGTGTGCACACCGTCGCCACGAGAAAAAAAAAGAGAAACACGAGAAATTCCTCGATACCGTACACACTGTGTTCCACACGCCGCGATTTCACGGGACGCCGTTAAATTTAATCGCCGATCCCCGGAATTCCAGCTCCCCCGAGACCGATCCGAGATTCTCGCCGCAATTGCGAATCAATTTTGCATTCGAATCGCTCTGGCAAAAAAATAAATGGAGACTCGAGGCTGACCACTGAAGATTGAAATTGCAAACATATTTCTTCATCTAACAAATACTCTGCCCTAACTGTTCGGATACATAATCCATACAATTTATCCAAATAAGTGCGGTCTCGATAGCTTGCAAATTTTCTGAATTAATAAATACGTCAAACAATTCTGTGTTCTACATTTTTCGTCACAATATATTCTACATTGTCCGTTTTCGTAATCCTCACATTTTTTTCACTCAAGTCCAAGGTGGTATTTTATAATAGGGCCCTGAAGATTGACCATCTATCGATTATTAAATAAGTTCTTTTTTTTAAATAAAGAATTCGCTGTCCACCCCGTTTGGCGATTATTGATCTAGAAAAATATTAGCAACAGTCGATAAGTGCTGAAAGTGAAGATAAAGTTCGGTAGGACCTCGAAAGGTCCTTGCCCCCCGAGACCGCAACCACGAGGAAAGAATTTCGCTCCACTTCGGCGCTGCATGCGCAAAGGTGCAACCTTGCAGAAGCGGTTATAGTGGTCTCATGTGCACGCAGAAGGGACGGTCCAACAAAATACCGTTGTCGTCAAGTGGGAACGGCTCGGAGGAGCCCGCGAAAAAAATAAACCCTTGCGCACTCGAGAGATCGGTTGAGAGCCTAAGTTGCGCTCGCGCGCACGAGCGCGCTACCGTTGCGCGTTCTCGTGTTTCTCGAGAACCTTCGGCATCATCGTACACAGTTTTCCCTCTCCCCGCTCGACGACAATACAGAAAAACAAGGTGGTGTGTCGACTTATTATAAGACCCCGGTATATCTCTCCTCGCGAGCGGGTGTAAACAAGGTGGCTGCATTAATTTCCTACACACGCGGTAGACGTCTCTCTGTCTCTCTCTCTCTTCTCTTTCTTTCTTCGTCTAACAACCTCGACAATGTCGTCGAATTCTTTCGCGATGGAAACGTACTTCGTGCACGGTA